CTAAAAAGCTATTTATTTCATTTGTAGACCTATCTTGATTTTTTTTTATTTGTGCTATCATTAGTCATTTCTTTATTTGTTCTTATTTTATTATTAACTGCTTAGCCTCCTTGTCATTTTTTTATTCAATTCAAAGTTTTAAATCAAGCTATCTCGTGCTACTGCACCAAAATTACCCCACTGTAAAATAAAAAAAAACACTGAGTGAGCAAAAATTTGTGAGATAGCTAGTTATAATGGTAATTAAATAATGTTTACATATGTATAAAAGCCTACATTAAAATATGTCATATACATTGGTCTTTTCATTAGAAATTAGCCTACTGATTGCCACCATTGATGGACAATTTTTTTTTATAATATTAAAAATATCTGTATGACAGTATAGTCTGCAGTTCTTCCCTGCTGTACCGAATATCTATACTTTTCAAAGTATCATATCGAAGTTAGAAATTCAAATATTGAGACAAAATTAATTTTGTAGGGTGCCACAAATTTGTTAAAATTTCCAAAGGGTGCCGTGACTAAAGAAAGGTTGGGAAACACTGCCTTAAAGTAACCACTTTTTTTCCAGAACATTACTTTCATGAATGGATTCCGGAAAATCTGAAATGCTGTTTAGTGAGCATGACAAGTGTACAATACACATTCTAGAATCTGTGCTCTCTATAAGCATTCGTGGCAAATGAAAAATCTCCATATTAGTTCAGTTAGATCAGTAAAGAAACCTCGGAGAGAGTATTAAGCATGATCAAACTGCATGCTATAAGTGCTGCAGGCAGATTTAGAGCATGCCATGGTGAGCGTCTAGAGACAGCATTGCTGTCGCAGCTGTTAAGGCAGCACACAGCGCTAGCAACAGCAACTGCACGTTGTACCTGCCAAATTGGGAGTGGCTCGGTAGGGTGGGGGTGGCACATTGGCAGTGATGACCCCACCCACTGACACCAGACCTGCATTGTTGTACGCACCTGGGCAGCATCCGGAGAAAAAGGTAAGAACATTCTGCATCCAGTCCCCCAAATTAACTTTCATATTGCACACAGACATATTGCTGGCATATGCATGGTCTACTATTTTTTTGTACATTAGGGAGATTATTACTCATACAATTTATTCTTGATAATTTTTTTCTAATCTGAAAAAAAAAGGGTCTTACTTGGAGCGATGGTTGCATGTGGCCTACATGGTGGGATAGGGTATGGCACAGGTCTGTGCGGATTGTACGTTGATGGTGACTTACGGAAAAAGAGAGAAATGGATGTGATAAGAAATTCTTAGCCATTAATGAAAAGCATTCAAAGAACAAATATGTTTAGGCAATAACACCTGGCCATTAAAACATACTGGTTTGCTTGGTCCGAGGATGCGTGCAGCAATGCCCTTTCCATCCAGGGTTGCATCGTCTCCATCCTTTTTGGCAGGAATTCTCTTTAAAGTTCCAGTAAAAGCCACAATTAATTTTAAAGAGCTAAATTAAACAATATGCATTTAAAAGGTATTTAATAGATTTATTACATGAAGGAACTTACAGGGAATGTTCCAGTGACCTGGCTGGGTTTGCCTTTGGGGTAAGGGTTGCCTGGGATCATCCCGCAGGATGAAATCATAGCCACTGGAGCTTTACATCCCACCTTACACACCTAAACAATTACAGACATGTACTGCATTTATATCCTCATTCATTCAGTATAGTCTACACCTGGCCATGATGTACAGCTTGTAAATTCACATGAATGTGCAAGTTTTACCTGCTCTAGGATTCTTCTTGCACACTGCTTCTCAGCGAGGTAAGTACGGAACGCATCATCCACGGGATGGAAATTTTGGGCATCAGAAATATTTCTGTAAAGTATATATTACATATTGCATTGCCGCATGATAATTAATTTGTTTGGATATTTGCTGATGTGCATAATTTCTGTAGTGTGTAACTTACAGAGCTATGAGTTCCAGTACAATAATTCTGTCCTTTGAGAACGTGAAACAATTAAGGATGTTTGCAACCTTCGTTGTTGGAATTGCAACCATTTTCTGCAGGAAAAAACATGTGATGCAATTAAATGAAGTCATTTAGCTCAACTAAAAATAAAAAAATAAGAAATAAATAAAGAAAGAAGCAGAATTTTTACATGTTGCAAGGCTTTGACTGCCTTTATCTGTGGCTCTGCCCAGGAGAAGTATTTCAAAATGTCAATCACCTGAGGAAGGAAATTTGACATGTAAGCAGATGTAAGATTCTGTGGAATTACAGTTCTCTACTGTTACTATATCAACATACCTGTTCACTGGAGAAATACCCATGAACCTGCTCTATAGCTTTGATACGTTGATCTGTCAAAACACACTTCAGAACAAACAAAAATGACAGTATAAATGTTATTCTCTGTTGCATATTCAATAATCATAATCACCCAAACAGACCACAACTGCCTCTTTCCAGAACAGACAACCTATAAAAATATATAAACCTACATAAATATTAATAATCCAATACCTTTCTAATTTCGTCCAAGACGATATCAAAGGATTTCTTGTCCATCTTCTCTGTCGATGTTCTGATCACTGTATTGATTACCAATTCCTCCTACAGCATCTCAATGACGACCCTTCATTCACCTGCTGATGGGAAGCTTAACGTAGTAACCCTGTTATACTTATTCACAGCATCAATGTAAGAATTCATCAATTTTTTTGCATATGATCTATCCTTTTAGTGAACCAAGAATAATTTTGGAGAGGTTCAGCAGGTACTATAGAAGGCTGACGGTCTCTTTAAGTTCAGGCTGGCATGTCATGAGGAACAACAATGGTCCAGTGCTAAATCACACACTCCTCAAATGCACCCTTCTTCACATACATGCAAGTCTTTTATCATTTTTGCACAATTACAGATTACGCTGAAGTGATTGAAGGTCATAGTCCACGCGCTAGTTTTGATAATTTTGATAAATCGTCGCTGTTTGTTGGGGATTAGCAGAGATGCTAAAGGCTGCAGTTCGTGTGCGACTTGCTTTGTCAGGACCCCGACGTGAAAGAGTCTGCTTCTAAATACGCCTCAAGAAGAGTTGACATTATATTTTGAAATAAATGGCATTTTGTAAACTTTATATTTTATTATTCAAATACTAACGTATATTAATGGTACTTTTCGATTTGTCATAATTCTTTGTAACGATAAACTAATTAGGTAGGTATCACATTTTCATAATGGGGAAATTTTAAATAAAATGTATATTATTAAGTTTATTTCTATGACTTTTTATAACATACATTAAAAGCAACGCGGTGAGTGAAGTTTTGTCGTATTTTTTCAATTAGGCGCATTACCGGACACCTAGGCGGAAGTAAACAGCTGTAGCTTTATGTAAAATATGCTCTAGTTCTGTTTTTCACTTTTGTTTTATTACATTGATCAAATGGACAGGTTTGTTTGGACAAATGGGCTACTTGAGATGAACGAAACGTTAGTAATTCAGCAAAGAGGAGTGAGACTTTACGATGGGGAGGACAAGGTATTTTTTCCCTAGATAGTTAGTTTGGATTCAACTGAAAGTTATGAAATGACAACCATGTGTAATTTACTGACCTGCCAATGATGTAAACATTACAGCTAAACACATTTTAGATTGTCGTTTTCATGTTGCTTATTCGTGCTGTTATAAAGAAATTGTAGAATTGGGAATTGGGTTTTACAAAATGCAATAATAGGATATGCATTACTTGAATAGATAGTGTATAATAATGCTCCATATTATACTGTTTCCTCATTGACAGGCTAAACTTGATGTGGGAGTCGTTCTTCTCAGTACCCATCGCCTTCTCTGGAGGGACCAGAAGAGTCATGTATGTCATCTTCAGTATCTTTACTGCTCTTACATTAAGTCATGTCCATTTTTTAAACTTATGTCAGACTTTTTTTCTCACTCCTAAATGTCCTTTTGCTTTAAATGAAGAACAATGTCTGAAATCTCTCATTTCTCTGTAGGAATGCTGTATATGCATACCCTTGTCACAGGTCATATTCTTTGAGGAGCAAGCAGCAGGCATCGGAAAGAGGTGACTGCATTTTAACATCAGTGTGCGATTAATGCATCTGACATGTGTAGCATGCCATAATAATATTGGAAACTACACCCAGTTACGTTAAAAATAAACCGTTACCTTTCCAACCTGCAGTGCCAAGATTGTCGTTCACCTGCATCCTGTCCCGGAAAATAAGGAGCCAGGCCCCTACCAGCAGAGCAAGTACTCTTATATAAAGCTGTCCTTCAAGGAACATGGGCAGATTGAGGTCAGTAACTTAAGGAGTGATGTCACCGAAATATTTCAACTGATGATGATGCATAGATTAATTCTGCTTCCGCATACATGGAGCTTATTACTCCACTAAATCTGTCTTACCGTTTGAAGCATGCACTATAAGCAGTCATGGCATTTAGAGAGGAACAGAGCAGAAGTGTTAGAAAGGTGTAAGTAAGGTAACTTGTGCTGTGTTTGGCGTGTAGTTTTACAGACGTCTAACTGAAGAGATGACTCAGAAACGATGGGAGAATACACCTGTCTCACAGCCCATCCCCACAGGAGTAGGACCCAAGGTCAGCTTAAACTCAAACTTTGAATGATGCATTAACAACTGGGGTTTGTTTTGATATTTCTATTAATTTCATAGTTTTTTTTTTAATAATAACAAATTGTATTATTTTGTATATATTTATGTAATTAATAGATTTGGATAAATTCTATAAAAATATGCAAATAAAATGGCTTATTAAAACTAGCCAGTGTTATTTTAGTATTTACTAGTATATTTATGAGTATATCTTAGTTAGTTATTTTATAATATTTATTATATAAATATATATATTTTAGTTTGTGATTTTAAAATATGAGTTACGTTTTATTTTTGTACTTTTAAGTTTAATTTTAAATTTAGTTTGTTTTAGCATTTGTGTTATGTACTTTTGTCATTTTAATATTTCTACTTAGCTTTAATTTTACATTAGCTTTATTTTTTTATTAAATCAGCATTTTTATGTCTGTTTTAGTTTTAGCAATTTACTAAAATAATTTTTACTGAAATATGTAAAAAATTATTTTAGTACTTCAATTTATTTACATCAGTTAGTTGCCAAAACAACTTTTTTATTTTTGTTTTTTTTTTCATTTTAAGTTTTTCATCAAATATTTTTATTTTTATTTTATTTCAGCATTATTTCAGTTACTGAAAATTGTTTTAAGAATTTTAGTTTTAACTAATAATAACACTGTAGCTATATATATTTTTTTTATAATAATAATTATTTTGTGAATAACTGAATAATGCAAAAATTAATTTTTTTAAATTGTTTTCAATTAGTGACATTATTTATTTTGATTAATTTGGGTTTCATAAATTGCTAAAACTAACTTTTAACTTTATCATTTTCGTACCTTACCTATATACAGTATCTCACAGAAGTGAGTACACCCCTCACATTTTTGTAAATATTTTATTATATCGATACAACTTTGTCAGCTGTTCTTAATTGGAAAATAGCATTAATTATTTTAAATAAATATTCATACTGGTGGCAGCTGGTTAGTTACCTACTCCAGGGATCTGGTAACACTTCAGAATAAAAGGAATCTTTATGAATTGCCTATTAATTCAGTTTTGAATGAATAATGATGCAGTGATTATTACATCCTCATGGTGGAACTGTAAGAATGTTGTTTGCCACTTGTCATTTGTGACATAAAGCTGTTTAAATACTTACAAAATGTTGTTTTGCTTTGGATATGTTGATTTATTATATATGATAGTTAGCTTGCAACATTTGTATAGCTGTTGTTTTTTTTTAAAGATTGTGTCTTGCAAAGAACAGGCCGTGGCCCTGAAGCAGTAACCCCTGGGCAAACCCTTTCCTTCCTGTTCCTTTGTTATTTGTTTGCATGCTTTTGAATTATTGTTTGTGCGCGTGCATGTTTAACAAAGAGTGAGGCTCATTTTTTTCTCTCCTGCTCTCTGTGGTTCTGTAGGCAGGAAGAACACGCGCAGTGGGGATTGTGGGGATTGAACGGAAGCTGGAAGAGAAAAGAAAAGAGACGGATAAAAACATTTCTGAGGTAAGAAAGAGAAACAGACTGACAGGTAGTCATATCTAACATACAGCACTGGAATACCAGCTTGAGATAGTCAGGAAAGCTGTGGCCACAATCAGACAGTGGGTGCCGTGGCCCCCTTTTGAGGGGCCCCTGATGTTGAAAGCAAGCGGGACCCTGTTTTTAATGCTAGATGACCTCATAGCTCTGATTAGCTTCCTGGCACAGCCATAATGGAAGAGAAAAAGAGAGTGAACAGTGGTGGGATATCCTGTTAGGTGTGGGCACACCCAGTGATTTACAGGTGATTTCAGCTCTTGATAAAGAGGTGTTTTGTATATCATTTCTTTCATGTTTCTATTCTCTCTTTTCTTTCAGGCCTTTGAGGATCTCAGTAAACTGATGGAAAAGGTCAGTCACTCAGTAGGTTGGTGGGTCGACCTGTTATCATGCACAATACAGCCATGGTCAATTTTATCAGTCTTGATTCAGCGAATCACTATCTTTCCCTTCAGGCCAAAGAGATGGTGGAGGTCTCCAAATCCATTGCCAACAAAATCAAAGACAAACAGGGTGACATCACAGAAGATGAGGTGAGCTTAAAGACCCTGAGGTGCTTGGTTTTCTGAAGCACTAGTGTTTTATCATGTGATTAGCTGAGATATTTGACATTAGCCAATCATTAATCAAATACTGGATTTTTTTTTTACACATTACTGTTTAAAAGTTTGGGGCAGTAAGATTTTTTTTTTAATGTTTCTGAAAGAAGTGTCTTATGTTCAGCAAGGCTGCAATTATTTGGTATCAAAAATATTGTGAAAAAAAAAAACAGTTTTCTATTTGATTATATTTTAAAATGTAATTTATTTCTGTGAATTTTTAGCATCATTACTCCAGTCTTCAGTGTCACATGATCCTTCAGAAATCATTCTAATATGCTAAATTGCTCAAGAGATATTTCATATTATTATTATCAATTTTAATAACAGTTGTGCTGATTAATAAAGTTCCAAAGAACAGCATTTACTTGAAATAAAAACTATTTTTAAACAGTTTAAAAGTCTTTATCACTTTTGATTGATTTAATGCATCCTTGCTGAATAAAAGTATTACGTTTTTTTTTTTTTAAGTCACTGACCCCAAACTCGTAAACAGTGGTTTATACACATATGTACTTGTAAGAAGAGCCTTTTTATAAGACTGTTTCCTCCTCAAAGTCTATTACTGCTGTGATCCTGCTTAAGTTAATAGGCTTTCTTAGATTACATGTAGATAACAGCTGTTATATGTATTGTTATAGCTATCTGTTTTGTTTTATTTGGCCTCCATATGCACAGATATGCTTTTAAAAGGTTAGATATCAGTCCTTCTCTCTTCAATAAAATAATACATTTGATTATGTATGTATGTATGTGTCATGTTCTCTGGCTCAGTGGAGTGTCTATAAATCCAAAGCTTGGCAAACATTGGCAGTGTAATCCACACAGAGCTCAGAAATCCCGGTTGCTCGCA